CTTCAAACCGGACAAAGCTGCTAAGAAATGTTTTACTTAGGAAAACGGGGACATCGTAAGGTAAGAAGTGGAGGCAGAGCTCCAGTTGACCACAAATTCAGTGAACACACTTTTTGGATGCCTATTCCACTCTACAGATAAAGCGTTGTGGAAATTAGGGTTCACGTACCAACCCGAAGTGATGAAATAAAATAAAATTCTGTATCAAAATTTATAGGCAAGACAAGTAGTTTGTTTAGGCATGGTTTGTAGGGAATTACAAACCTGCGCACATATATTCAAACGCACATAACTATAGAATCAATTGTTAATGCGCATGTGAACGCCATCAGCGTTTATCACAGGTTTGCGTTTAAAGTCTGTTTAGAGAGAACGGTGTCGTTTTAGCAGCCCCTAATTTAAGTGAATCGATCAAAACTAACTTTAGCTGGAAAATAACATTATTCAAGAACCGCTATTAAACCAAATCTCTTTTACCTTAAATTATATTAAGTTTATCTCTGTAAAGCTGCTTTGAAACAATCTACAATGTTAAAAGCGCTATATAAATGAGGATTTGTCCCCGCAAAAACTGATTGGTTGACAAAGAACCACTATTTGTCACCAGATTCACACACAACGAGAAGTGCAGGCCTAGTAGACACACTGTTTGGGTCATTTTTTTAAAGAAGTTAATTTTATTCAGTAAGGATGCATTAATTCGATCAAAAAGACTGTAAATATAGAAATTGATAGACACTTCAAATAGAAATCATGGTTTCCGTTAAAATATTAAGCAGCACAACTGTTTCCAACATTGATACTAAGAAACGTTTCTTGAGCATCAAATGATTTCCGAAGGATCATGTGACACTGAAGCTGAGGCTGAAAATTCAGCTTTTAAAGCATTTTAAAATATATTAAAATATATACACTACAAATTTTAGTTTGAGCAATCCATTACATTACACATTTTAGGTAATATAATCATACCACTTTTTGAGTGCATTAGCCTACATTATGTCAGGGTTTCCCAAACCGGGGTTCTGTGAGTTTAATAACAAGTGAATTAAATAAATCATAATTAAAACATTTTTTTAAATTAGTTATTAAAATTAAATCTTTTAAAATTAAAGTTATAAAAATAAAATGTTTGAAAGTATTGTTTCCACCCCAAAAAAAGACAGCAATACAGGGTTAATTGACTCACTAAGCCATAATTCGAATAATAAATGTGTTAGTCAGGAGTTTTTCCCAATATGCAGTTGCTAAAATACTAAACAGGTTGCATGTTAAAAAACATGAAAAAGAATTAGGGAGTGTAATCAGGGATCATGTAATCTGCTTATTAGCAACAGTAATCGGATTACGAGCATTTTAAAATGTAATATAATCTAATTACAAGTATATAAATGTATATCGTACACAAGCAGTTCTCTCATTGGGCTCGTACCTGCATCTGCATTATTTAATCTTTATCGAGTGTTTTCTAGGTTGTTATGGTGGTAGGTACACAGCACAACTGGTTTCTATGATATCTGGGGTTATATTCACAAATTAGAAATATAAATTGTGAACCTGTGAAATTTAGGAGCCGCCTAACTCTTCAAAACTCCTTATTTTAGGACTCTTACATAGTATTTGTTTAAGAGGAGTTCATGGAGCATTTCAAAGCTAAAAGTAAATCCTAAACCAGTGGCTTAGTAATCATCCTGAGAACTCCTAAAGCCTTTAAGTGGGAATATTACCTTTCATGCGGTGTGTAATATAGCGGTCTGTAAACGGTCTCCCTATTGTTAAGAGAGGTCAGATTAGTACCAGCTATTGTGTTCACACAGTTCTAGCACAGAGGGGTTTCAGAAACACAAACAAGAAAACCCAAACATTCAGGAAATTCAACACATTTTTTAATAACACTTTAAAATTTCCCATTTTTATGGAAGTTCCTCATATAGTACTAGAGAACAGATGTATGCTACATGTACACTGCTACATACACCTATACATTATTGTCATTTTATATTTGATGACAAGACATTTAGGTTAAGTCTCCGAGGCAAAAATTAACATTGAGATATCAGTAATATTCATTTCAAATAAATCCCTAGCCTGTGTGGTTTAAATAACAATTGTAAATGTAATATGAATGAAATTGCAACATTTTCTATATCCAAAACAGGCCATTAGGCAATACAGTATTTGGCTGATATATTGCTAAGATGTGTGCTAAAGGATATTAAGCATAATCTAAAGATGCATTCAGCCTCATAGCATCACTGGATTGGCACAGCACTTAGAAGAAAGTCATATTTTCAAAACTATATAAAAAGAACACAACAACCCATTACAAACGACATGTAAAATATCACTAAGGATTAGTGATGGCTATAAATAAATACAAACCAATAGCAGGACATACATACTCTTTATACAGTAAATGGTCCCGAACCCTGGAAGAGTCAACACAAAAAAAATCAAACGATAACTAAAAAACTGATTCTTGCATTGAAAAGGACACCAAAATAACATCAAACACCAACTTCTCAAGACTGGTTTCGCACTTTGACTCAATTTCTAATCAGCGAGGTCTTTATCCGACACCCACCGAAATCAAAACTAGTCCAAAACTAAAAAGCAAGACGATTTAGAGAAGGAAACACGAACAAACAACCAATTTCAGGACATTTCCAGGGACAAACGATGTAATCAATCTAGGGAAAATACATCACCTCTGCGACGACAAGGCCTCCAAAACAATGTGTATTTGCACAGAGGGGAAGTTACAACGCAGACATGCAAAACCCAACAGCTCAGGAATTCAAAGACTTAAAACAAAACTAAAAAAAGAGAGAACAGTGGAATAGCAAAACATTTATAAAATGCTTCATGTATCAAGCTCATGGGTCACAAAAAAAAAAAAAAGAAAAGTGAATGATCAAAGCATTGCCACACATTTAATTCAGTATCAAGAATTTCTCTTTGTGTTCTGCTTGAAGAGCCCATATTTACTCTTGGCATTCCCTTTGGTTTAGTTTCTAAATAACTTCAAACTTATAACACTGCATCTGAAGCATATTCATTTTGGAAATCAAATTTTCAAAAGACAAAAAGAAACTGCTGATCTAAACTGGCAATGTTTGTATAAACAGTCACTCGATATCATTTGTTTCTTGATAAAAGCATCTTGCCAGTAGCTTCTCTCGAAATCTATCCAGCTATGATGTAAGCATCAGTATATTTAATACAGTTACTTCATACTTAAGCCTTTTTTATCTACTGAAAGTGCTGTAAAATGTCCTATGTTTGCTGCTACATCTGGTGTCAATGGTAACCAGTGCAAACTAGGCTACATACTGTAGATGGCACAATATTTACTGAGAAGTAACTAATCCAAGACACTTTGAGCCGCATATGGTTCGATAAGCAGGTGAGGCCAACAATTGACTGTTAATGTTGAGTTAATGTTCTTGACTGACATGCCATTTGAGAACAAGAAAAACGTAACGGAGAAGACGTTGACTTCGGCAAGTTTGTATGAACTATTATAGACTCTCGCCTTATTCTGCCTGGGTTGCTTTGTCTTCATCGTATGTGCGGTCTAATATTGCTTGTGAACAGGATGCTACAGGACTCACTATACAAGAGTAAAGGCAATAAAAGAACGACACCTGATTGGCTTAATAAAAAAATAAAAAAATAAAAAAAGAGTCTGGTAAGGGTCTGTTATTGGCATCTGCGCAAAAAAACTAAATCAATTCTACAAATTCTTCAAAAGACCACAAAAATCTTGATTTTTTTTTTTAAAAATAAATCAAAGCTAACTTGTTGGCACCCTGTATTATTTCAAAAGGCATAGTTCACTCCAAAATGAAAATTCGGTTATCTATTACTTACCTCATTTAGTTCCAAACCGGTGTGACTTTTTTTTCTTCTAAAAGAAGATATTTTAAATAATCTCTCTGTTTTTTGTCCATAGAATGAATTTCAATGAGGCCCAATGTGGTTTGGTTTTGACCCATTTGACTTTCATTGCAAAGACAAAAATTACTCAAACATTACTCAAAAAAGAAAGTCAGTCATACATGTTTGGAATGACATGAGGGTGAGTAAAGGATAACAGATCTTTCATTTTTGGCTGAACTATCCCTTTAAGGCCAAACCATTAAACCATTGGTGAGCAAATTGATTTTAGTTTGTGTAGACTTCTCATTTAATGCGATGCAAAAAAAAAAAAAAAAAGCCATAATATGACCAACATACCTGATCAAACTCAACTTAATCGGATGAAAAAAGTTGTTTTGTGGCAAGGTTCAAGGTCATGTCGAATTCTTAAGACTCGTTTGATTTTTTCTTTTACAATATATAACCCATTGAACACACAGTACCATCCTTTCCTCGCAGCCTCAACCCTGTTATATTGCATCTACCCCGACTAAAGTCTAGATCTGCAAAACAGCCACCACATGGGAGACTAACCCTGACACAGCATTAAACGCATGGCGAAACAGCAATCAGACCTGACTTTAAGAGCCACCGTGGGAAGAACAAGCACTGGTTTACCAAACGGAAGACCGAAACTGCTGATTCACACAATTTTTTTGATCATCAAGTCCGGACGTGTAACTGTGCAGTAATGTGGACGAAACATCACATAACAGGAGGGCGTGTCTTTCTCTACAACTTCATTCAAGTCTTCTATTTTGCACCTTCCACGCCAGCAAATTGAGTAAATGACAACATATGATCGATTGCTTGGATGTTTCACTGCCTTCTCTTTTGATGGTTGGAATACAAGTTTAAATGTGACATTTTGAAACCACTGTACTGCTTAGGTTCACGTCCCTTTCATCAATAACTTAGGCATTGAGTCAGTGATTCAACAACCACTATGTAAGAAGTCAATATGAGCCAAATAATTATTTGACCAATCGGTCAAGTCGGTCTTGTACGATGCGTGTAAAGCAACTGTTCAAGCTGATACCAAACAAAGTGCGTCATAGGTACCAACACCTTATCACTTGTCCAGGCACACAAAGTATCGGCCAAGCAGCACAAACAAATGCAAGAGCGTGTGAACAGGAACCATCCTTAACTGAAAGGAGGACTCACAGAGCTCCGGTTCAAGAGCAGTGATTGGGAGCTGGGAGACGGTCAGAAGTTTTGTGTGTTGTTGAAGGAGTTTGTGATGAAGGGGGCGGTATACGGTGGAGGTGGAGGAGGGCTGGTGGTGCTGAGTTCAGGGAAGGGCTTCAGTCCCATCTGTTTATTGTCCTGGAGCTTCCTCACCACCACACGGCAGAACTCCTCGCTGTGCCGCTCGCACGTGTCCAGAAGCTTCCGCACTTTGGCGGTACGTGTGGCTTGGTTCACGACCAGTTCGTAGTCCTCGCGCATCAGCAGCTCACGAGACAACAGAGCGTCTAAACTCTGATTGAGACACGCCTCCGTCATCTGCCGCACAACCTCCTCCCTTCGAGCAGCGATCCAGCGAGCCGCCGGTCCTTGAAAGTCCAATGCTGTGACAAAATCTGCAAAGACAAGTCAGGAGCAGGACATTAAGATGAGCCTGAATCAAGGGATGTCAAAAGTACTGGTACTCTGCACTAGGGCTGGGCGAGAAGTACAAAATATTCTTTCAATAATCGCCTTTAAAAATGTTGCAATATCTGATATATATCAGGGATTAAAAGTGAAGTGGTTTGTTCTGAGCAAAAAACAGTAAGCTATTTTTCATTTCGGCTCCAGAGGTCTCCTTTCAAAAGGTTACTGGTTAGAACGAAATAACACTTCTGCTTTATTCATTCAGAAAAAGAAGAAATTTAAACAATTTATTAGTCTAGTACAACGCTCCCAACAGGCTACTTAATGGAGCTGCCAACACTGGAAACTCTGATGGCGCTTAAATCAATAAATATTCAGAAACAGGACCAGTTAGGAATATGGTACTATTTAATTAACTTTATTAAACTGTAGATCTAAATAAACAGCTTTATAATGGGAGTGAATGGTACCCGAGAGTTTGAAGCTCAAAAAAAGTGCATCCATCCATCATAAAAGTACTCCATACGGCTCCAGGGGGGTAATAAAGGCCTTCTAAAGCGAAGTGAAAAAATATCCATACTTATAACTTTATAAACTATAATCACTAGCTTCCGGTAAAGGCCATACGCAAGTCAAGTTCCGGCGGAAGAGTGACCTCTGACCCGACGCATGACGTAGGACGTAGGAGCAGCGTAAGTTGACGCCTCTTTCGGTTCAAACAAAAAGGGCTGGGCAACAAATTTAAACTCCTCCGTCATTTCTCTTTAAAAATTCTCATTTCAGACTTGTAATTCGTGACCAGCGTCTTGTTTTCCTCTGTGCCTCCGCGTTCATCAATACATCATGCGTCGGGTCAGAGGTCACTCTTCCACCAGAACTAGACTCGCGTACGACCGTTACCGGAAGCCAGTGATTATAGTTTATAAAGTAATAAATATGGATATTTTTCTTACAAAAACGCATCGCTTCGCTTCAGAAGGCCTTTATTACCCCCCTGGAGTCGAATGGAGTACTTTTATGATGGATGAATTCACTTTTTTTGGGCTTCAAAGTCTCGTGTTACTATTCACTCCCATTATAAAGCTTGGAAGAGCCAGGGTATTTTTTAATATAACCCCGACTGTGCTTGGCTAAAAGAAGAAAGTCATATACACCTAGGATGACTTGAGGGTGAGTAAATTATGGGATAATTAAAAAAATTTGGTGAACTAACCCTTTAACTGACTAACTAACCTTGTCATATCGCCCAGCCCTACTCGGAAACAAGTTGATACACTCTCAGAAAAAAAGGGTACAAGAGCTCTCACTGGTACAGTAGTACCCTTTAAAAAGGTTCTGATATGTACTATTTAGGTACTTTGTACACTTCAGTACCAATACGTACCTTTAAGGTACTAATATGAACTCTTTAGGTAAAAAGGTGTACCATTTGGGGTGGCCGCTTTTGTACATTTTTGTCACAGAGTGCAGCAACCTTAAAAAAGAAACTGCAGATGCCTCAGACCTGTTTAGGGTGTGGCTAACATGTGTAGATACCTTGTGGGTATGTCTGCAGAGTGAGGGGTTGTATGACAAGAGCCAGATCACTTTCACTTTGAGGCGCATGTGGTTTAAAAGGTATGTTGAGGTCGGACACGGCCTGTGCCGTCGGGTTTTCAGCACTGAGGTTGTTTCGAGAGCAGTGGTCCATAAGAGGTTTTGGAGGATCAAGTGGAAGGGACATTAAAGATGACTGCGGACCAGCCTGAGCACCTGACACACCTGATGATGATATAATACAGCTACAATAAACAAACCAATAAAAAAAATACAAAAAGCAGAATATAAAGAGCATCAACCCCAATGTTTTGTCACCATTTACTCGTTAGGGGTTTTCACACTGTGCTTAACCCTGGGTTATTGTCATTCTAAACACCACTTGTAATTAAGAAGCAGGGTTAGCACTTTTACCCGGGGTTATAGCACCACTTTTGCGTTGTTTGAATGTTGAGGCTAGATGCTTAGCAACCAATAGCCAATCGCGTGCTTCATATTCATGTGCTAGTACGTGTCACAAGAAAACAGCCTCAGTCACAGAAATACCCCGCATTGTCGTTTCTTTCAGCGTGGACAACTTAAAAAAAATAAAAAAAAACCTTGAATTGAAGTGAAGAATAGACAATTTAATTCTTCATTCTTAACTTTATAGTCCGAAAAGTCTATTCAGGAGAAAATTAATGATATATAATATGAGGATGTGCAACACTATGTAAACAGGTCGCATTGCTGAATTTTTCCAATCAATGACACTGACAAAGGAAACAGGCAAATAATAATGTTAACCAAGGATTTAGGAATGTAGGGAAATGAGAGCTTTTAGGGGATTAGTTCACCCAAAAATTTTAATTCTGTCATTAATTACGCACCCTCATGTCGTTTCAAACCCATAAGACTTTCGTTCATCTTCAGAACACAAATGAAGATCTTTTTAATGAAATCTGAGAGCTTTCTGTCTCTCCACTGACAACTATGCAACTGCCACTTTGACGCTTCAAATCCTTTATAAAGAAGTATGGTAAATACTAGGGGTGTAACGATACACAAAATTGACGGTTCGGTTTTCCCACGGTTTTGACGTCTCGGTTCGGTTCGGTTTAGAAAGCTAAAATTGCTTTTTTTTTTTTTTTTTTAAAACAGTGGTTTAACGAAAAAATTATCTTTGTCTTTAAATTAATTCAATTACAATTAAACGTTTCACAAGGATTAAAAAAAAATCTGCTAATTACTATAACATTAAAGCAGGGGTCTCAAACTCAACTTAACTGGGGGCCGCTGGAGGTAGAGTCTGGGTCAGGCTGGGCCGCATCAAGTATTCCACAAAAAATAGTATTCAAGTATTCCAAAAAAGGAGCACAACTGATCCAATCTTCTCAATATTTATTATTAACGTTTCTTCTGAACTGTTCCTCTGAATTTGAACATTCCTTTCTGTACATGATTGGTTCTTCATGAGCTGTCCTTCTGACAGTTGAAGTTCATTTTACAAACTTTCTTTGTCTATAACACATATTTGTGATATTTATATTTGCTTATGTCCTTTTTATTTTCTTTATACAACACATTAATGATATTGAATGTTTTTTTGGAAGGCACATTTCCTTTTATTATACTTAGAAAAACAATTATTGCTTTTGAAATACAAATATTTGCAGTCATGTCTGCCCGTCTTATTGAATTCTTTCTACACATGTATAGTGTCTCAAATTACTGACTGCACAAATCAAAGCAAACCTTCTTATCAACCCGTTGGACACATATAACAAGCTCAAAATGATTATTCTCACATTGTTTTAGAGCAGGGTCTCTCTCCAACACGTCGCTCGCGAGCTTGGCCTGATTGGTGGCAGCTCGCCAAGCTCGTTCACATATCGCGCTCACATATTTTGCGCGCTCAAGTTCGTTATTTCAAATGTAGGCGCGCGGCAAGCGCGCTCAAAATTGAAGCGACGCGCTCATTTTTTCCAGACGCAGTATGTTTGTACTTCGCGGTTGTCTATGACAACTATTGACAACAAACCCACCGTAAACTGTCACGAGACTATCTATGGTAGCCCATAAGGGATAATTTTTTTTTTTTTTAAACGCGGCACACGCAACGACGGGCCGCACTAACATTAAACTTTAATGTCAAGTAGGGGGCCACAAAATATCGCGGGCCGCGAGTTTGAGACCCCTGCATTAAAGGTTGTAGCCTAGAGTTTTAACCTAAATTCAGATGCTATTTATTTTTTAGATATAATAATCAACACACTGTATGAAAACATGTAAACTGAACATAAGGCAGTTTTTGCATTAACTTGTGTTTTTACTCTAATTTGTTATTGAAATATAATACTTTACACAGTTGTCATTTTCATGAAAGATATTTTAAACATACATTAAATAATCAAGATATCATTAACAGGTTAAGTAAAATATAATATATAGGCTAACATGGTGCATTTATTTAGTGCAAGAGTTCATTTATAGGAACCAAAGTTGTGGACACTGAATCACTTGCCTGTTGAGGTAAATATAATGCTAGTGACAAGCTATGCTGTTTTATTGACGTCTTTCCGCTGCTGAAACACTGATTGAGCGATTACACGAGTTATGATGCCTTTCAGTAAGTATACTGCATCTTTCAACATACCTTCAGGCAGTGGCGGTTCTACATTGAATTACACCCTGGGCGAGTCCCCCTTCGAGCCGAATTCGGTCCGATTTTCCAATGGCTGTCGTTGCTATACAACCATGCCCTGCGCTCTACACAACGACAAAGAAGTTTTAGTAGCTAATGGATTTCCACCACAGAAAAACGCTTGCTGTAGCTCTGCTAAAAGATTTATTTACGGAGAAGAGAAAAACACCCACGTGTTTGGGTGCACCCCCATTCTGAAATGTTTAAAAATGTTCATCTCGCTGCTCCTGGAAAAAATGAGCGCGTCACTTCAATTATGAGCGCGCTTCACGTGCACCTACATTTGAAATAACGACCTCGAGCGCGCAAAAGACGCGATATGTGAACGGCCCCTTGGTGAGTTACCTCCAACCAGGAGACTCCCTTGACATCGCTTCTGTGCACGGCACCTTCTCAGCAAGCAGGGGCGCCATTGCCAATAATTGAATTGAAATTATAGAAAATAGAAAACCTTCGCGGCGCAGAGGATTTTTTTTAACTGCTCGTGCCGCCCCCCATGTGACATGAAAAAATGCCGCCCCGGGCAACTGCCCGGTTCGCCCGTGCCTAAAACCGCTACTGCCTTCAGGTGTCCATTCTGTAACTGAGGAAGAGATGATCGCGTTTACCCGCGCGCCGCGCTGCCGCTTGAAATGAGGAGCTTAGTAGCCCTACAGCAATCTGTCACGCCACATCAAAGAGCGCCAAAACGCCATTTATTGTTTGAATTTCGTGATCAAATAGACAGAATTTGAAAGATTACACCTTGCTTATTATCGAAAGTAACAAAACACGGAGCTTGTTATTTGGTGTTAATGGTGGTTAGGCTACAAAACTGAATTCGTTGTGTAATCCGGGCTGGGCTGGGCGGGGCCGGGATTAGCAGGGGGCGGGGCGGGGCGGGGCGTGTTCGGTTTGCAATGAGAGTATCGCGATTCGAATCGTGTGTTCTGTATCGCAGTTTTTCGGTTCGGTTCGAATATCGTTACACCCCTAGTAAATACTAATCCATATGCATCCAAGTATACTATGTATCCATGTATACTAATCAATAAGTATCCATATCCGTATCGTAAAACTAATCCATATGAATTGATGGGTCAATTCAATCTGTTCATCATATAAAGTGATTGAGTCTCTTCAGACAGTAATTAGTGACAGAATTTTCCTTTTTGGGTGATCTATCCTTTTAAGAATAATCAGGAACAATTGTTAACCCAGGTTAAGTATATGAGCAATATGAAACGTGAAGCAAGATAACCCAGGATTCCATTTACCCGGAGTTTAAAATGATCCAGGGTTAACCATTTCAAGTGTGAAAAGCCCTATTGTGACTTTTTTATTCAACAATTCCAGCAATTTTGTATTCCATGGAAGAAATTAAGTCATCCAAGTGGGGAACAGCATGAAGGTGAGTAAATGATGGCAGACTATCACTTCTATCACTATCCCTTTTAGAAGAAATAAGTCCTGCCTTGAGAGGGATTTGATATGGTAAGAAAGCCCGGATGGGAGAATTCTGCTTCCTGGGAAGAGCAAGAGCCTGATCCAGATGTGGAACTGTTGTCCTGTCATTTAACATGAAGAAGAAAATTAAGACACTCTTTAGACTGTTCTCATCTCTGGTTAAATTCTGAATCAACAACAACATAGGATATATATATATACACATACACACAGACAGAACAAAATTATACACGCAACACTTTTCTTTTTGCCCCCATTTTTCATGAGCTGAACTCAAAGATCTAAGACTTTTTATATGTACATAAAATCCCTATTTCTCTCAAATATTGTTCACAAATCTGTCTAAATCTGTGTTAGTGAGCACTTCTCCTTTGCCGAGTTAATCCATCCACCTCAGGTGTGGCATATCAAGATGCTGATTAGACAGCATGACTATTGCACAGGTGTGCCTTAGGCTGGCCACAATAAAAGGCTGCACTAAAATGTGCAGTTTTATCACACAGCACAATGCCACAGATGTCGCAAGTTTTGAGGGAGCGTGCAGTTGGCATGCTGACTGCAGGAATGTCCACCAGAGCTGTTGCCCGTGAATTGAATGTTCATTTCTCTACCATAAGCCGTCTCCAAAGGCGTTTCAGAGAATTTAGCAGTACATCCAACCGGCCTCACAACCGCAGACCACGTGTAACCACACCAGCCCAGGACCTCCACATCCAGCATCTTCACCTCCAAGATCGTCTGAGACCAGCCACCCGGACAGCTGCTGCAACAATCGGTTTGCATAACCAAAGAATTTCTGCACAAACTGTCAGAAACCGTCTCAGGGAAGCTCATCTGCATGCTCATCGTCCTCATCGGGTTCTCGACCTGACTGCAGTTCGTCATCGTAACCGACTTGAGTGGGCAAATGCTCACATTCGATGGCGTCTGGCACTTTGGAGAGGTGTTCTCTTCTCAGATGAAGCCCGGTTTTCACTGTACAGGGCAGATGGCAGACAGCGTGTATGTATGTATGTAATGGACAACGAACACAGGTGCATTTTATTGATGGCATTTTGAATGCAGAGAGATACCGTGACAAGATCCTGAGGCCCATTGTTGTGCCATTCATCCACGACCATCACCTTATGTTGCAGCATGATAATGCACGGCCCCATGTTGCAAGGATTTGTACACAATTCCTGGAAGCTGAAAACATCCCAGTTCTTGCATGGCCAGCATATTCACCGGACATGTCACCCATTTAGTCACGTTTGGGATGCTCTGGATCGGCGTATACGACAGCGTGTTCCAGGTCCTGCCAATATCCAGCAACTTCGCACAGCCATTGAAGAGGCGTGACATTTACATTAGATTTATGCATTTGGCAGACACATTTATCCAAAGCGACTTACATTGCATTTCAAGGTACACATTTACATTCTTATCAGTTCTTGCTTTCGAACCCATGACCTTGGCGTTGCAAGCGCCAACGCTCTACTGTTTGAGCTACAGGAAAGCTACAGGAAGGAGTGAACCAACATTCCACAGGCCACAACATATATATATATATATATATGTTGCACTGCGTGAGGCAAATGGTGGTCACACCAGATACTTACTGGTTTTCAGACCCCCCCCCCAATACAGTAAAACTGCACATTTTAGAGTGGCCTTTTATTGTGGCCAGCCTAAGGCACACCTCTGCAATATATCATGCTGTCTAGCATCTTAATATGCCACACCTGTGAGGTGGATGGATTATCTCAGCAAAGGAGAAGTGCTCACTAACAACTAATATATATATATATATATATATATATATATATATATATATATATATATATATATATATATATATATATATATATATATATATAGGAACTTACTGGCCAAGGGACGTTTTGTTCCTTCACACTCTTTTCCTCAACTCTTTTCCCATTTGTTTGAGTTGTTGAGCAACCACTTGATGGCCTCATATACTGATGGAAGGAAGGAAAGAAATTACAATAAATTCAATAGTTTTCGACCTCACAACCTGAAGATCATACAGGCATGAGAAAAAAAAAGTCCTCCTTAAAAAGTCCTACATAATACAACCATGTATGGTCAGTCTAAACCCCTTAAAGACTCACCTTTGTTCGTTTGACTTCCAACACCGCTTCCAAGACATCAATCTCATCAAATCTTCTCAACATGGGCTCCAGTTCAATAAGACAACCTGTAAGGTACAGACAAAGCAGCTATTGAGCTACAGTTAATAAACAAAACTGCATGAGTCTTGCGGAAGAACATTGAATCTGGAGTTGTTACAGCTCTCTTTAGTTCTGTCAGTTCATTGTGTTTTAGTGTGGGTTTCCTGTGCCCGTGGTTTGTTAATTAGCTCTACACCTGTTCTGTTTTCCGTTGATTGCTCCTTTGTGTATTTAAGCCTTTAGGTCAGTCTGTTCCATGTTCGGTATGGTTTATGTGAATGTGTTATTGATGATGATGATGATGACGAATTTTATTTATAATGCACTATACATTTGACATCTAATCTCAAAGTGCTTACAAAATCAAGTAAGCTATTATTTCAAAATTTCAAAATCAATTATTGCTATATCTATCTCCTATTTTGTTCTCTTTGGTTTAATAAAGAAGTATTTTTTATTCATCTTTGTTTGTTTGTCTAATGCTTGAATGCTGCAACCAAATTTCCCTTGGGAAATTAATAAAGATGACCTGAACTGAACTACTCTGCAGCGGTTGGCGTCCCGCCTGGTCTAAAATAGTCTGAATATAAACACTTAATTATAGGCAAACCACAGTGATTCAAAACATTGTTTTAAAGATGCCTTCATGATGTATTTGCTTATTATATAAAAAAAGAAAGAAAAGTAAAAGTTCAAACCAGCTCGAGTACCACCATTAGTACTAGCAGCGTTTTATTTGTCCCTTTGGCTGCTGTCAATTCATTTCAAAAGATGTGAAGAATTTGAGCTGTTCTCTGAAAGCAATTTAATGGGAGCAAGTCTCATTACACTTTAATAAGTGTAAATTTATACACCAAGCATTCCTTAAATTTTTTGTCAGCTGAACCGCCCTTGACCTAAAATATTCACCACCTGAGTTAAGTTCATTTTCAATACTTTAACTGTGTTCATGTTTCTCTGACTATCAACAGTGGTTCACTTCCAGTTGCATTCACACCGAGTTGTGCATGGGTGACGTAATTTTGTAGGCCAAAACCAAGAAACAACTTCGCATTTGATCACTTCCGGTTCAGTCATCTTGAAGTCAATGGGTTTTCAAGATTTTTCACATTTTATTCACCAACATAAAGTGTGTTTAAGCTTTTACTTGACTTAAAAAAAAGGCAGTTGTTAAAGTCCCCCTGTTGTCAATAATTGTAGTCCTTAAAACTTAAATCTTTGATCGCCAAAACAACACATTTAAACGTTTTTTTTTCTGTGAAAATGTTTTATTCATGCCTTAAAATGGCTTGAAATGTAACTCTACACCCTTCCTTCATTTAGTCTACGCAGACCCATGAATATGCAAATTAGCTCCGCCTCCACTCACTCACTCCAGCTCAGAGAGCCAATCGCTCGGCCAACTTACTGAGGTTAACGCTAAACAATAGTATAGCTCTTTACAACGTCCGACAAAGTTAATTAATATGATTTGCATTTTGCTTAACTATGTTATCAAACAGCTAATAATGTGTTGCTGATCTTATCCAAACCATGTTCCCGTTCGCCATCTCAGCGACAAAGTCAGAGAGCTGCTTTCTTACAATCATCAGAAACGCTTTGAACAACTCAGAATATCAGTGGAGAAAGGGATATAGTTCATCGTAATATGCATCATACACCTGTTATATTGCTAAATCTACCAGACTTTTCATATCAACAAAAACTATACCGGGATAACCTGGCTTCTCAGACTCCCCTGCTTTGCAGCTGTTAATGACATGCTAAAGCCCGCCACCCTCGTGATTGGTTACAAGGTAGTTTGTGACGTAAGAAACACCGCTGATTTCCAACATTAAACGTCATGCCGAACAGGAAAATCATCTACTCACTAGTCTGCTTTCACAGCCTCGTTGCGTTTATAATCGCGCTCTTGCAAACTTTTCTTCCTAACTTTCAGGGAAATATTTTTAAGTCTTGCGTTGAAGTCTTGCGACTGTGTAGTTAATTTATATCCCACGTTTAGCTTTTTACTTCTGCCGATTGTATTTAGACTTCAAATTTCATAAATGTTGTGTTCAATTGTGAAGATTGTCATGATAAACATAAGTGTAGGAAGAGTGTAGGAATCATAAACCTTTATTGATCACAGAGCTTATTTTCTGCAATAATCCAATAGCAAATGGAAAATTGTGTTTTTGTCAAGGGAAACAGGGTGATGCTAACTTCTCGGTTGGCCTACAAAAATATGTTGTCACTTCAGCGCTCTATTGTGAACCCATATCAGAACTCACACGTAGGGCGATATGATGTCATAAAAACAGAATTCTTTATAACGAGCAATTTCACAGAATTTGTCAAATTTGATGAATAAATAAAAAGCAGGTCAGTACTCTTAAATCAAATCGCGATATAGACCAGTGTCTGTGAATATTCAAACGCAAAAAGACTCTTTAAATATGAATCCTGGATGTTCTGCGTCTCTGTGTACCATCAAAATGGAATCTAGAAAACTTAAAACAGAAAACACTGAATTTGGTACAAAATAAAACGGATTTGGAGGAAAAAAACAACGCATTTCATAGGGTCCTAAACATGTAATTTTTGTTCAACTATTAATAAATTGTTAAATTGTATAAGTTTTATGATTTCAGTTAATTAGACATGCTTTTGATTACTAAAAGAGTAAAAAAAAAAATTAACTAAAAAAAACTGAATTTGGGAAAAAAACAAAAAGGATTTCATAGGGACCTACACGTTTAAAAGTTTGTAAAACCACTTTCACACCAAACATATTGAACTCAAACGAACTCAGGTCAGCGTCAAAAGCTCTTACTCAACATTGCCTAGAGTTTACCAGGAAGTAAAATGTCTATTGTTAATGGGGCATGTTGAGAAATAAAACATCAATGCCTAAATCTAGATATTAGACCTTCACATTGTTTGATTTAATAACCATTTTATTAAACCATATCTGGTTAAATGATAATTCTATTTGAAAAAAATGACATGAAGATGACCCCACTGCTCTCTCTCTCTGTCCGTCAGTCATTTCATCATACTCCTGATCTGTAGCAGTGTTTGCAAAAGAGAATTCGTCAGAAGAAAACTGAACTGTAATGACTCAACATTTTACCTGACTAACTCCAAATTTGATCATGAGCTGACAAAATTGCCAGTAAAGACCAATGACAGAATTGTGGTTAGATGTTTAAAGTATTTTACAAACCACAACACCAGGTCACCCTACTGGATTGTGACAGGATGGGTTAAACAGGGATTGTGAAAAGCAGAGGAAAGGTCAAAGGTTGATAGGCTGACACTCACTGAGAAAGGAGGGGCGTTCGTCTGGGTTGGCGGTCCAGCCGCAGGTCATGAGGTTAATGAGGGTCTCTCGACTGGGAATGTCCGCCGGCAGACTGTCCAGGCCTGTGTCGGGCCGAGATCCTCGGAGGACGCTGAACATGATCTGCATGGGATTGGTGGCGTCTGCTCACAGAGTGAACAAAAGGACAACGTCAGAATGTTGAATATTGTCTGGATAGATGACTGCTGCAGTTTATGAAATGGAGAAGGAAGTGATCATGAGGGGAACTCTGTGTCAGGATTTTGCATCAAAAACATGACAGCATAACCTGCTTAGTACTGAGTAGGGCTGCACAACGAATCTGAATTTGAAACTATTATACACTGTCCGGCACCAAAAAAAAGTCGCCGTTTGGATTTGAATAGGCAAATGCTTAAGAGTCTATGATTGAATCTTGACATTGTGATCCTGCAATATGGCCATGATGTGTCTTCCTACAAGGTTGTTTAAGAAATTAAAAAGCTACACACTCCATCAATTAGGGTTAGAAGAACTGTTGCCAGACACGTAACATTCACACAGCACGTGTTTACCAAGAATGCAGTTGCAGTACTGAAAAGTTCACGGGTGTGAGTTTGTTAATAGAATGAGGTTGTCACTCCCGTAAATAACTGAACTATGGGTGAACGTACCCATATTAAAGACTCAAATACAGAACTGACAACCGTATTCTGCTGCTGTGTGAACACGGCCTTACAACAGATCACAGAAAAGTCTATTTTATGCATGAATTCAATGGTGAATGAGGAGTTTAAATTACTCTATAAGCCCACTAGCAATGACAGTTATTAGTCTGACAGGTTAAGCAGTCTGATTGACATATTCATTATTAGAGGCAGTACAGAGAGTCGTTAAGTGTGGCATAACACAGCCTTTCAAACGATCTAATAAAAACATATGTAGACACATGGTGCTGTTTATTATGCCCTTTTATAAAGTTAATTAGGGTGGTTATTACAGTCTCATGTGCTCCAGTTCTAATTGGTTTGTTGTTCCACTCTAATTGAGATTAGCGTTCATGGTATACTAGTGTATAAATATATATTAGTGTTCTGTACCAAAACCACACACACAGTGATCCGCAAATGATGTAATGTATAGCGCTTTTCCACCGTCGGACCAAATCGCTCTTTTTGCATAACCGTTCCATTCCGTGGCGATTTGGTACGGATATGGTTTAACTTTCCAATGTGGAATATACTTTTTTTTTTTTTGGGGGGGGTAAACACACATTTGTGCAACAGAAAAGTTATCGATCTTCGCGCATTCTACCAGCACGGTTAGACTGCCGTGCCGAGAATTACGGCCGAGAACGGGTTGTAACCGTGCCGTACCAGGCTCAAGTGGACACATAACTGGAACCATTCTTTGATCCTTTTGCCCAGACGGTGGAAAAGTGGCTTATGTTTTGTTGTCTTAAACACACAAAGAAAAGAAACTACTCTTAAAACCAACAGATTCAGCTCAAAATAACATTGTCATGTCAAACTCAAATATTATTTGCATTAAAGGGATAGTTCACTTTGAAATTAATTTTTGATATGTTTTAGCTTACCTCAAGGGCATCCAAGATGAAGGTGTCTTGTTTCCGCAGTAGTTTCAATTTTGATATTTTTAGGTCAAACCGTTCTTGTCTGTCAGTCATATAATGCAGGTCTATGGTCACCACCTCAAAGGGCATACACAGAGAAGTCCAAATTAAACATGATTTAATGACTCGTAAATGTAAGTACACATTGATGGCCTAAGACACGAAATGAGCGGTTTGTGTGAGAAAACGAACAGTATCTGGAAGTGATCTCTCGCGCGTGTACGTCACTCGTGAAAAAAATTCAACGTTGTCTGTTGATATATCGAAATCGTCTTCCATTGCGATTTCCTGTATATTTAAATATGTTTAGATTTTCAAAGTGAAAGGTAACACTTCCGAAATCTCTGTGTAAACAATGAGTGACGTACACGCGCGAGAGATCACTTCCGGCGCTTGCGCAGACCGAAGCGCCCGCGCCCTCAGATCACTTGGACGTGGCTGTGTTTACAAGAGGTAAAAACTATATAAATACTGTTTGTTTTCTCACACAAACCGCGCGTTTCATGTCTTAGGCCATCAATGTGTACTTACATTTACGAGTCATTAAATCATGTTTAATTTGGACTTCTCGGTGCATGCTCCTTGAGGTGGTGACCATAGACCTGCATTATATGACTGACAGACAAGAACGGTTTGACCTTAAAATATCAAAATTGAAACTACTGCGGAAACAAAGACACCTACATCTTGGATGCCCTTGAGGTAAGCTAAAACATACCAAAAATTAATTTCAAAGTGAACTATCCCTTTAATAAACAAATCAAAAATGTGCTTACATCTCTAGGCTGAAGTTAATAAATTATTGTTATTAAAATTAACAATAATATTCATGTGACTGTTGATAAAACACATGAACTTTTTCATGTGACTGTTGATAAAAATATCATACGATCAAGTTTCCAGTGTGCTTTATTAAGAAACACTTGGGTGTTTCTTAATAAAGCACTCCTTGTTATGATGAACTCGTTGACTCCTTGTTAACCCAAGAACCGCTAAAACCAATTCAATCAGAATTGTGAATGGTTTTGAAAACTAGATTAATTTAAAAGATCTGATCAAAAAGAATGATTCCTTCATTATTTTGGTGATGTTTAAAAAAAAAAAAAAAGAAGGCCACATTTAAGTGTGGGCAATTTAGCCTAACAAAACCTGTGATGTAATTCACGGGTCCACTTCTCTCTATCACCCAACTCTACCTTCAAATGGTATCCGTCTCGAAAGCACTTCCCACATGATGATGGCGTAACTGAAAGAGGAAGCATAGAACAGATGAGTGAATGGTTTCACTGTTGCCAGTCTCTAAACCACATCTGGCAATCCCCTTTGGAGATAAAACACTGTCCAATCAGCCCAGGGATTTCAACATGCCCTATGACTAATCACAAAACCTCAGGCCTGTTGGCAGGTTGACATTTAGCTCCTAAATCACTTCCTTTTTTTGACCAGCACAGTAGATGAATAAAATAAAGGCCTCTTTTGCAAGTCGTTTTGGTGAACTATGAGTGAATCCAAAAACTGGTTTATGATTAATTTCCAAGTTTCCCCTTATCTTTCTTTGTTTTGGAAAACTGGTGAAATTCTATAATAATCCACCTAAAATTTCCAATATCCTACACTGGCTGCTACATTCCTCTCTCCCACTCAATATCTGATGCATATCTGATGACCAATAGATTTTCTTTTTTTTTTTCATTCATTTGTGGCTTGGATTATTTTATAGATTTCTAACCAATAAAATATTTTAGAGATAACTAGAAAAAGTGTCATGAAACCCCCCTGTTTCAACACTGACTGTTCATGCCTCAGATTTAAAGAAGACTCAAGAAATGGGAGTGTAAAACTGGGAGAGTAAAGGGGAGAAAACAACCTGTGTGGAATGAATGTTAAAATGTGACTGGAGAAAAAAAACCCTGACAAATAACAGATTTTGGGGCACTTTGATGAATTTTAAAAAAAAGAAAATGTAACCATAAAAAAAAAAAAAAAAAAAAAAAGAAGAATCTTATCATTTGAGACTACTAACAACTTATGAACAAACTAAATACGTTTTGATCATCCTTAGAAATAAACAGAGGGACAGAAACAGAATCTTTCCAGAGCTATGAAAAACAAAGAATTGAATAATATTTTCAATACCTTTACAAGCACTACATTCTCCAAACAAATGACACACATCAGTTTAACACAGAAAGAATAAAAGGCAGTTACTTTTTTTTTCATTCTTCTTTGAATTTCTGATTTCCATAATTGTCTTCTATATCTGAATAATCAAACGTGTCATTGCATTCATGATCAGACATACCACTGTATCAGTGGCATAAGGAGACACGATTGAGTGTGTGTGCATACACAGTGATGGTTCATGTTTGGGGCTTATTAAATATGTCTATGAAAAAAACAACACTCATTTTAAATACAGCACACAGCTAAAATGGCCTGCCTTGAATATGACAATAGTGGGCAACTGAATAGTGCAGCATTAGTGAAGCCGAACTCTCCTCCTGTCAGCACTTACAATTTACACAGACCGACCTTACACACAGAGTAACACGCGTTCATGCAGGCTGCAAATACTTTAGAAGATCTCACGAGATGGATTTGACAACATCTGAAAGGGAATTGCAACTTTTTCTCTCACAATTCTGACTTTTTTTTTTTTCAGAACTTTGACTAATGACAAATTATTGACTACAGGAGGATCTACACTCACCTAAAGGATTATTAGGAACACCTGTTCAATTTCTAATTAATGCAATTATCTAATCAACCAATCACATGGCAGTTGCTTCAATGCATTTAGGGGTGTGGTCCTGGTCAAGACAATCTCCTGAACTCCAAACTGAATGTCAGAATGGGAAAGAAAGGTGATTTAAGCAATTTTGAGCGTGGCATGGTTGTTGGTGCCAGACGGGCCGGTCTGAGTATTTCACAATCTGCTCAGTTACTGGGATTTTCACGCACAACCATTTCTAGAGTTTACAAAGAATGGTGTGAAAAGGGAAAAACATCCAGTATGCGGCAGTCCTGTGGGCGAAAATGCCTTGTTGATGCTAGAGGTCAGAGGAGAATGGGCCGACTGATTCAAGCTGGTAGAAGAGCAACTTTGACTGAAATAACCACTCGTTACAACCGAGGTATGCAGCAAAGCATTTGTGAAGCCACAACACGCACAACCTTGAGGCGGATGGGCTACAACAGCAGAAGACCCCACCGGGTACCACTCATCTCCACTACAAATAGGAAAAAGAGGCTACAATTTGCAAGTGCTCACCAAAATTGGACAGTTGAAGACTGGAAAAATGTTGCCTGGTCTGATGAGTCTCGATTTCTGTTGAGACATTCAGATGGTAGAGTCAGAATTTGGCGTAAACAGAATGAGAACATGGATCCATCATGCCTTGTTACCACTGTGCAGGCTGGTGGTGGTGGTGTAATGGTGTGGGGGAGGTTTTCTTGGCACACTTTAGGCCCCTTAGTGCCAATTGGGCATCGTTTAAATGCCACGGCCTACCTGAGCATTGTTTCTGGCCATGTCCATCCCTTTATGGCCACCATGTACCCATCCTCTGATGGCTACTTCCAGCAGGATAATGCACCATGTCACAAAGCTCGAATCATTTCAAATTGGTTTCTTGAACATGACAATGAGTTCACTGTACTAAAATGGCCCCCACAGTCACCAGATCTCAACCCAATAGAGCATCTTTGGGATGTGGTGGAACGGGAGCTTCGTGCCCTGGATGTGCATCCCACAAATCTCCATCAACTGCAAGATGCTATCCTATCAATATGGGCCAACATTTCTAAAGAATGCTTTCAGCACCTTGTTGAATCAATGCCACGTAGAATTAAGGCAGTTCTGAAGGCGAAAGGGGGTCAAACACAGTATTAGTATGGTGCTCCTAATAATCCTTTAGGTGAGTGTATGTAATAATGCGTTAAGCCTGTTTTATGCTTCTGTGTCGAATTGACGGCGTACCCCCGCAGACCCCTCTGCGTCGCCGCGAACCCCTCTCCGACCCCTCCGCCGTAGCTCGACGTGCACCTCCAAAAAATTTTAACTACGCGTCGAGGCGATGCAGACCGCAAGGGCTGTGATTGGTCAGATTATACATCATTTCGGGAGTGTGGCTTTTCCGGTTTCCCCCTCCCGCTATACCGCCATTATTAAAGTGACCACTGCACTGTTTGTTTCAACGATGTATCAAGTTGAGGAACGTTTGATTCTTCTGCGATTAAACATTTGCAATAAAATCATTTGTTGTTCAACGTCGATTAGCTCCAGCTGCAACAACATTCACTCTTTCGCTCGCCATTAGGCACGTTTCCATTACAGATTTGCGCAAAACTTTTGCGTTTTTTTCTAAATGTCGATAAAAAACTATTGCGAAATGACACAATAGTCCGTTAACCGATGTTATGCGACTAAAACGTCTTTTTCCGCTCTCGCGATAAGCCATTCCAAAAATCATGGCAACGGACGTTGGTAGGTTTAACGTTATAGCCTATCCACCGCACTAGACATTATTATTAATAATGGAATATACGTGGTGTGTTATCCAAGCATTAATGGCAGGGAAAGACACGGAGTTCTCCCTCATTTCTGCTCCGAGGTATTCCTGTTATTATTGTTTCTTTTATGAATTTAATAAAGAACTCTGTCTCGTATTATGTCCAAACGGTCAGTGTACTTTTGTGTCCATTCGTTTTCCCTTATTCGTAATTGCAAAACGAAAAATGAATGGTTGTTGTATTTTTAAGACGCAAAGTTGAACACCAAAATTTTATTTTGAACTGTACACCAAATGCAGCGAAAAAAAGAAAAGAAAAGAATTTTCAGATATTTGTTTATGATTTTTTTGTTTTTTCTGGGCTTCTTCGTAAATGGGTTACACTTAGCTTCCTCCCGGTCAAAAACGGACGAAGCCTTAAAATGTAACTTTACCTTTTCCCAGGATAACCAATCAAATATTGTTTTGTTCTATAATATTTTCTGATTATTCTTTAGAATTTTTAGAATTTATGATACTTTGCATTAATTATTTAATTTTTATGAGCTATTTTTTCCATTAGAATTAATATATATTTTTTTATTTTATATATATATATTTTTTTTTAAATCAATAAATGCAACATTTCACATCAAAATAGAGTGCCAGCCTAAAAAAAAAAAAATGTTCAAGTAGAGCGCCATCTAGTGGCTTTAAAAAAATAGTTAAATGTGTGCAATGTCCTGTACCAGCCTGTAGGCTGCCTATAGCTTCCTATATAAATACATAGAAAGGCTTTTTGATTCCTTTTGTTGTTTTAGACATGATTTCTCTACCTTATTCGTTTTTTTTTTTAATTTAGATATACATTTAGATATTCTAAAAGACTACTTAATTTTTTTAACAAATTTTTTTAGATAAGTATCAGGTTTCGCATTATGATTAAAATCAAACTAGCATTTGGTTAGAAAGGGAACACAATGCAAACATTTTTGTTACTCAGTATTTGATCATTCAAATAATTAAACAAAATAAGGGATGGTTAGTAAAATTGGTATATTTTATTTTTTTATTTTTGCATATTCTCAAAATTTGCTGTTGCAGTCTTACCAGTATATCTGTGTATGTGTGTGTGTGTGTTTGTGGGTGTGTGTGTGTGTGTGTGTGTGTGGGGGGGGGGGGGGGGTCTTATTTGCACTCTTGATGTTTTAGAGTGTCACCCCTTCATTGCTGTACACTTTTTTTCTGCACAGTGGCTGATCTGTAGCTTGTACCACCAAAAGTTTCTCTGAGTTTTCCTATTTTTTTCTATTTCCCATTCATTTCCTATGTCGCCCGTTTTTGACCAGGAGGAAGCTAAGTGTGACTATTTTTTTTACGACCCTTTAACATATCAGAATCATCTCCTTGATTTATTTGTGTGTTCATATAGGTAATACAACAAAAGTCACCAAGTTTCACCCCCATCCGATGAAGCAAAAAAATTAAACAATTCAAAATGTAAACGTTTTCGGTCATTTTCGGACGAAGAAGCCCAGAGGGTTAAACACTTAAAATATTCACAAATGAATATGGAAAAAAAGTGTAGATTTTACTGGTTTTCTAAGGCCAAATTAGAACCTGGAAATTATATTTTTCCCGCAGTGCTGAATGAGAAGTGCCATAACCACAGCCTACAGAAAGGTGATTTATTGGTGAGTTATAGGTTATAATAAATGTGTCTGAAAAAATAACTAGGCATTTTAATTGTTTATTAATAAACTATTGTTTTCCTAAATCAGTGTCGGCTAAAAACATCTCTCCATCTCCGGATACACCTTAGAGAGAAATGCGCCTTCATACGGATTACATAATCAGAAGGTATTAGCTTTCGATTAGAATTTGTTCGTTTTAAAGTGGACATTTCAAGCTTTAGCCTACATAGGCGATATTTTGTTTCAGTTCTCGATCAGTTCACGGAGACCATGAAAGCGCGCCTGATTGTTTTATTTTATTTGACAAAAGCACGACGTTTTCTTGTTATTTTGAGTTTACGCAAATAAAAGTAGTTGCGAATAATGTATTATTTTCTGTATGACCAGAAATAGAGTATTTTAAGTTGTTTCCACTGTTGATAGGAAAATGTAAGTGTTCGCGCCTGCGCCTCCCTGCCATGCAGTGCGCGCTCCACACTTCGCACAAAAACTTGGATATGCGTCAAAATCTTGTGTTTATTTGTGATAATCTTAGCCCTGTATTTTTATTGTCCAACCTGTATTATGAATGAGATGTGACGAATTGATTTGTTCCTTTTTTGGATAAAAGTGTCTTCTACATATGTAGCCTAATAAATGTTATAATAATGATGATAATAATAATTATTATTATTTGCGGACACGGACCCCAAACACACCGCGTTCAGGTCTATGTTCAGCTTCTATGTCAGGTGACTGTAAATGCGCAAAACCTGTTTCCATTGCAGTTTTGCGAAATATTCCTTATGGACGTGTTTCCATTGTGCGTATCTTCAATTCGCAATTTCAATTTTGCACAATTTGAAGGGTAATGGAAACGAAAGTGGAACCGGCGCACAAAACCAAAACAAACTAGCAAAGAGATTCGCAAAGCACACCCCCCCTAGCGTTCTGGCGGTGAAATGCACCGCGATGCAACGCAACCTGATGCAGAACCATAAAACGGCCACGACGCCGTAGGAGTGACGGCGTAGCTATGCCGTGGAGTTGACGCAGAAGCATAATGAGGCCTTTAGACAGAACTGTTAAACAGAGACCGTAAACTAATGAAGACGCTGTGCGCTCAATGCTGGTGTTCTCAGTCGTCAAAATAAAAATCCTGCGTCCAAACAAACAGATAAACTTATAAGCCAAAATCGAGATTTAAAATTCTGGCCGATATATTGGTCGACCACTAGCATCACTTAATTCTGCTCGTGTAGCACGGCAAAAATATAAACTTGGTGTGGAAACAATCGATGCACTGCTGCACCTCATCCGTGTGCAGTGTGAGTGCTCTAACCTGTTAACATGGACACTGAAAAAAATATGGCCCACACACAGACTGCATACGTACTACAAATGGATCATATTTGAAATGGGCGTAATACAACGCAGTGATTGGACAAAAGCTCATATCTTATACGCATATACTCTTGATGTTGGTACAACTTTTCTTTTAAAGCAGAAAAAAAAAACACTTCCCCCTTAATAATAAACAATGAGTGCATTGTTTTCAGTACATATCTGTTAACATCTCAAAAAATGTGTTTTAGGGTTTCATGACGCTTTCAGATGTTTTATTGACTTTTCCAGGCCTGGAAATCACCATTTTTTTTAATTCCCGGACATTTCCAGGCTCACCACAGAGACTGAGAGTGAGACATGTCCCTAATCTGACAGGAATTTTGCTGAGTCAGCAACAGACTGGTGCCATGGTGCAACAGATGAACGTCTAAAAGGGCTGCCCCAAAAATTTGGGAACTGAGAGAGCAGTAGTTCAAAATCCTGTAGTAGAAATCATTTGAAACTCAGGAGGAGGTTCACTCATCCAGGCAAAACTGGAAGCTTTATAGAATCTACAGAAACTGACCTGTACATGTCATATTTGACATCTGTTCTGCGGTTCTTGGAAGGTTCGTACTCCTCAGGTGGCATATAGATGACCGTGCCTCCCATTTCGGCAGGTTTGGAGCCGGACCCTTTAGTGATTGAGAGCTGACGCCATTTAGACAAGCCAAAATCTGCTATCTATCCACAAACACATACATACAAGACACACTTCAGATCAGAAAGTTCACTGTGAAGTTACAACTAAATATATTCAAAATTTATACTGACTAATGTTTGACTTAAATTAACCGATATGGGTTTTTCAGTGGCCACTCTAGATATCGAAAGACCAGGGTAGGAGTTGTGTCGGTCAAGCTCCAAAATTACAACAACAAAAAGCACCATTGTGCTACATTCACCTTTTTTTTTTTTTTACAAACTTACTGGCATTTCTTTTCCATTTTACAGTTACAATGAAAAGAAACTAGGACTTTTAACAGCTGGAAGTGAATAATGACTACATTTTTTTGAATGAAAAGCTATTTTATGCCTTTAGAAGTCTTATGATAGTACACAAAACATACAGAGCACTTTCATGATATTTTTACGGTGTTTTGGTGCAATTTTTGACGTGTCGGCGTCAAGTAAAAGAGTGACCAGCACATTATTCAAAATATTTCCTTCCATGTTCCACTGAAGAAAGTCACACAAGTTTGAAATGATATGAGCGCGAGTAAATTATGACAACATTTTTGGTTGTACTATCACTTAAAATGAGTATAAAAGTTACAGATTCCCCAAAGCACAAATATAAGGAATTAAGGCATTTTTCAAATCTACATAAAATACATGTTAATAGGTCATAGCTGATTTCCAAGGTACAAGTATTTGCTTATTGCGTTCAAAAGGGTAGTAGTAAGACTAAAGCTGGGTAAGAAATATGAAACTTTCACAAAAAAATATGTAAATGAGAAGGTTAAACAAGATAGACACTGATAACATTCAGACAAATATGGATTTCAGCACATTTTAACAATGACTCGCATTTCAATAAGGGTTACGTGCAAAAAGATCAACGGTTGATCACCTTGACGTTAAAATATCTCAAGCAGGACAAAAATGTACACATGCATCTGAATGCACATGCGGGAAAAAAAAAAAACAGGTGTGGAAACATCTTGAACAAATCTCGAATCCAATTGTCTGAACGCACAAACCTTTGCATGGTACTCCCCATCCATCAGGATGTTCTGAGTTTTGAGATCATGGTGCAGAAGGGGTGGTGTCATATTGTGGAGGAAGTTGACCCCTAGAGCGATCTCATAAAGAAACCGAAGCCTCAATGGCCAGGCCACCATTGGGTACATATCTTTCTGTAACGCAATAAGAAAACAGAAAGGAACATTCAAGAACCTGTTTGCCAAAAAGGATAAAGTGAAACTGTGCATTACTCAAACGCATTACGCTAATGCGACAAGACTAAACAGAAAGCGTGTCATGTAAAGGAATGCTGTTTGTACAGTTGTACCTCATGTAGGATCTCATCCAGTGAACCGTTGGTCATGTACTCAGTCACAATGCAGAAGAACTCAGGCTCGTTACACACCCCAAAGATCTGGATGATGTAGTTAAATCGAGCTTTGTGAAGCACCTCAGCTTCCTTCAATAAACAATTCCTTTCCCTGAAGAAAAAAAAAAAAAGCTTAATGATTTATACAAGGGCTGGTAGGGTTTCTCTACCACCAGACAATATTATGCATTTCAAGAGTGTCAGGGTTTCCACAACATTTAACCATTATTCATGATTTGTTCTTGGTATAACTTTCATTGTTCCATGGATTATTCAATGAAAACCTTGACAATCTTGTCTTTTTTGGTACAGGTCCAACCTAAATTTTAGCTGAAATTCAGGCGATACTGATAAGCTTATAATTATTTTCATATTATGGATGAATGATATTAAAATTCTGTTCCGAGTTGGTCTAAACAAATGAAAAATAAAACATTAAAAACTAAAATCAATCGTTTAAAAAACTACAAGTAGTTGAGGCCTTCCAACATTATAATATACAAAAAGAAAAATGATATTATTCCTGGAATCTGCTAAAGATTACAATGTTGTGTTCGGGTCATTTTGACAGGGAGAGGATTTTCTTTTTCACAAAAATGTTAATGTTATCGAATTGGACTAAAACTCGCACAGGGAAAACTACTCCCCAAATATATACAGTGGGGAGAACAAGTATTTGATTCACTGCCGATTTTGCAGGTTTTCCCACTTACAAAGCATGTAGAAGTCTGTCATTTTTATCATAGGTACTCTTCAACGGTGAGTGACGGAATCTAAAACAAAAATCCAGAAAGTCACATTGTATGATTTTTAAGTAATTCATTTGCATTTTATTGCATGACATACGTATTTGATCACCTACCAACCAGTAAGAATTCCGGCTCTCACAGACCTGTTATGGCGCTTTTCCATTACCAGTACCGACTCGACTCGCTTTTCGCTCCATTTTCCATTGCAGAAAGTACCGCCACAAATAGTACCCGGTCGTCATAGCGACGCCTTTCGTTCCTCGTTGCCCCATCAAGCTCTCGCTGGATCCTCTCTTCGGCAACCAAACAAAGGAATGTCTGCACCTCCTCGTTTGACCACGGCGTATTCTTCCGAGTTGCCATAATAATAGTAGTAAGTTTAGTAACTATCTCTGGCCAAACTATTTAAAAATGGCAGGGTTATTCTGGATACTCCATCTGGCGCGTGCAATGATGACGCAGTGAATAGTGACAATTCTCTCTGACCAATCAGCAGTCGGCATTGTTTTCACGTCACATTTTAGTATCGCCTTAGCTCGCCTCAGCTCGCTTAGAACCTTGCCGGAGGTGGTACGAAAAAAAGTACCCGAAAGCAGGTACAGGTACAACTTTTACACAGTGGAAAACCAAACAAAGGCGAGTCGAGTCGAGCCGAGGCGAGCTGGTACTGTGTGGTGGAAAAGCGCCATTAGTTTCTCTTTAAGAAGCCCTCCTGTTCTCCACTCATTACCTGTATTAACTGCGCCTGTTTGAACCCATTACCTGTATAAAAGACACCTGTTCACACACTCAATCAAACAGACTCCAACCTCCCCACAATGGCCAAGGCCAGAGAGCTGTGCAAGGACATCAGAGATAAAATTGTAGACCTGCACAAGGCAGGGATGGGCTACAGGACAATAGGCAAGCAGCTTGGTGAGAAGGCAACAACAGTTGGCGCAATCATTACAAAATGGAAGAAGTTCAAGATGACGGTCAATCTCCCTCAGTCTGGGTCTCCATGCAAGATCATGAGGAAGGTGAGGGATCAGCCCAGAACTACATGGCAAGACCTGGTCAATGACCTGAAGAGAGCTGGGACCACAGTCTCAAAGAAAACCATTAGTAACACACTACGCCGTCAAGGATTAAAATCCTGCTGCGCACGCAAGGTCCCCCTGCTCAAGGCAGCGCATGTCCAGGCCCGTCTGAAGTTTGCCAATGACCATTTGGATGATCCAGAGGAGGAATGGGAGAAGGTCATGTGGTCTGATGAGACAAAAATAGAGCTTTTTGGTCTAAACACTCGCCGTGTTTGGAGGAAGAAGAAGGATGAGTACAACCCCCAAAACACCATCCCAACCGTGAAGCATGGAGGTGGAAACATCATTCTTTGGGGATGCTTTTCTGCAAAGGGGACAGGACGACTGCACCATATTGAGGGGAGGATGGATAGGGCCATGTATCACGAGATCTTGGCCAACAACCTCCTTCCCTCAGTAAGAGCATTGAAGATGGGTCGTGGCCGGGTCTTCCAGCATGACAACGACCCGAAACACACAGCCAGGGCAACTAAGGAGTGGCTCCGTAAGAAGCATCTCAAGGTCCTGGACTGGCCTAGCCAGTCTTCAGACCTGAACCCAATCGAAAATCTTTGGAGGGAGCTGAAAGTCCCTATTGCCCAGTGATAGCCCCGAAACCTGAAGGATCTGGAGAAGGTCTGTATGGTGTGTGCAAACCTGGTCAAGAACTACAAGAAACGTATGATCTCTGTAATTGCAAACAAAGGTTTCTGTACCAAATATTAAGGTCTGCTTTTCTGATGTATCAAGTCATGCAATAAAATGCAAATGACTTACTTAAAAGTCATACAATGCAATTTTCTGGATTTTTGTTTTAGACTCCGTCACTCACAGTTGAAGAGTACCTATGATAAAAATTACAGACTTCTACATGCTTTGTAAGTGGGAAAACCTGCTAAATCGGCAGTGTATCAAATACTTGTTCTCCCCACTGTGTATTAGGGGTTGAACCGACTAGTCGATTAGTCGACCTTAATGAAACACCGCGACGCTTTAAGCTTGACGTCGACTAGTCGCGATGATCATGTGACACTATGATTGCGCTACTTTTGATACTAACATGTTGCAGACGACAACAGATGAAGAGCCCAGAGGGTCATTGCAGCAAGAAAGCAGCATTGGTACATCAAATGTGTGTAAATACTTTACTAACCTAACACTAGATATTGTTGAAAACGAAAGTAAAAGCATGACGCACGCTCACTACCGGAAATGAGAGTTCAGTATCTTTATTAAAATCATTAAAACATTTTTTTTCATTTATTTATTTAAACATATTAATGATGTAGCTAATTCACCCGCAGTTAATTGGAATATTATTTTGTATTACTTGGATCTGCGCATCACTAAGGCACTGATGTGAATTTATAGCTTTTTTTCCTTTTCTTTTCATCCTAAATGATGATGTAACTGCGGGCTGTGTACACCAGGGCACTTCAAGTGTTTCTGTGATCTGATAGCTATATCCGATCGTGAAAAGACCAGGTGTAAATGCCCTCCGAAACGCACTCGAGACGGATTTAAATCCGATCGCTCAAACCGCCTCAGGAGGAGGTCTGGGCCGCTTAACAGACGAAACTGGACAAGTGTAAATCAATGCATCTGGTTGTTGAAACTGGACTTCTCCCAACAATGCTAAAAATAAACGTGTGAGAGCGTATTATAGCGATGAAGCTATGGCAACACGCATCGCCGCATATGAGCAGCTCGAGCATCTATTCATCAAGCCAACGTGCAAACTATCGCAAATCAAAGTGAAAGTAAGTCGCAGACGCTTAACACACAATCATCTTCATTAAAAGTAAAGAAACAGAAATGATCTTACCAGTGCTGTCTCTCTTATTGCGGTCTTTGATTTTGAAATTAGCTGATGATCAATAAAATGCAGCTCATTATTGTTGCTTTCGGTGACGTGAACTCCGTTAAATCTGCATAGCGCGTTGTTTGAAGATCGGATTTATATCTGTTTTGCGAAAACATATTTATGTGACCAGGTGTAGGCTAAATGGCATCGTTTTGATAAATCAGATCAGTAAAAAAACATGAAGTGACCAGGTGTAAACGGCCCCATTATGAGCTGTCTGTCAGCATTTGTATAATTTTCTGTTAATTAATTGCAAATTGTGGCATGTTGCAAAGCAGTCCCATCTCTTGTGTTTTTATGAATGACGTCATCGACTAGTCGACGTCGACTCGACTTTGATGTCATAACAGTCGACTTAAAAAAATCTGAAGTCGTTCAACCCCTACTGTGTATATATATATATATATATATATATATATATATATATATATATATATATATATATATATATATATATATATATATATATATATATATTTTTTTTTTTTTACTTTTTGGGGGATTTCTTTCACCTTGTTTCACTTGGTGACTGGCCTACAAAAAACAGTTTATAAATCTCTTGTTATGCTATATTAAATCACCAAATATTGGATTCAACCTTTTTGTCAACTTGTTTTCTTTCAATTAGAAAATTGCTTTTGATCTAAGCAATATTTGGTGAAAATATAACATAACGAGTGATTTACAAGCCATTTTTAAAAGGTTGGTCATTTTTGACCAGTGCAGCACAAGGTTTAATAGTGTTGTTGAATTATTCATGTTTTTAAAGATGAACTTAAAAAGTTTGTTCTTTCACCAATTACTCACCATGATGTAGATCCAAATCCATAAGACTTTTGTTCATCTTCAATCTTCAAGGTCGTAAAAGAAATCCATATGAATCAAGCTGTTAAATCCAAGTGTTCTGAAGAGACATGATCGCTTTGATGAACATGAACATGCTTGTGTAGATCAATATTTATAGAAGCTAAATTAAATCTGTTAATCGTATAAAGCGATCGAGTCCCTTCAAAATATAGGATTTAATATAGAAAAATCCATATAGATTACTTTTACAATCTCTTTATTAGCTTTTTGAAGTGTCAAAGTTTTGGTGGAATTGACTTTTCAGATTTTTGTCATAAAAAATGCCTTCATTAGTGTTTTGAAGGTTAACTAAACGTCTTATGGGTTTGAAACGACATGAGGGTGAGTAAATTATCACTTCTGTGTGAACTAGATGACAGTAGAAGTAATCTAAACATGCATGCTCATTTCCCCTATTTTTACATTGAATTATCAATATTAATACAAATGTTGGCTGACACTGATTAAAAACAAAACAAAATCTAGAATCAGTTGATAAACAATATGAAATATGTCTTGCATCCCAAGAACAGACCAGCACATTATTCTGAATATTGATAACAAATCTACAGGTTTGAAACATGAGGGTGAGTGAATGGCAGAACTTTATTGAACTATTGCTTTAATTGAACACGCTAAATATTTCCATTTCTTTCAGACTTAAGTTTTCAGAATTTAATTTCTTTAAACAACTTATCCAGACCAGGAAATCACATTCCATGATAAATGATCGTATAAACTCAGAACTGTGGACAAAAACATTCAAGCTGTAACTCAGTGCTTATTAGCCCAAAACAATTAGTTGGTTTTTGTCCCAAAAGACCTTCTAGTTTGGTCAAAGAACCAAAAATAAATACTATGTGTACACAGTACCGGTCAAAAGTTTGGAAACATTACTATTTTTAATGTTTTTGAAAGAAGTCTCTTATGCTCATCAAGCCTGACTTTATTGATAAAAGAAATACAGAAAAAAACAGTGAAATTTTATTAATTTAAAATAACGGTTATATATTTTAATATACTTTAAAATAAAATTTATTTCTGTGATGCGATGCTGAATTTTCATTAGCCATTACAGTCTTCAGTGTCACATGATCCTTCAGAAATCATTCTAATATGCTGATTTATTATCAATGTTGGAAAACTGTTGATGCTTAATATTTGTTTTAATATGATACTTTTTTCAGGATTCATTGATGAATAAAAAGTTCAAAAGAACAGCATTTATTCAAAATAGAAATCTTTTCTAACAATATAAATCTTTACAATTACTTTTTTTTTTAAATATCAAATTAACACATCCTTGCTGAACAAAAGAAAGAAAAAAAGTACTGACCCCAAACATTTGAATGGCAGAGTATATTATTACAAAATATTTCTATTTGAATAAACGCTGTTCTTTTTATTCATCAAAGAATCTAGAAAAAAATATGAAGCAGCACAACTGTTACCAACATTGATAATAAATCAGCATATTAGAATGATTTCTGAAGGATCATGTGACACTGAAGACAGGAGTAATGATGCTACTGAAAGTACAGCTTCAGAAATAAATTATATTTTAAAGTAAAGACCATTATTTTTCAATTGTAATAATATTTCACATATTAGTGTATTGTTGATCAAATAAATGAAGGCTTGATGAGCATAAGCGACTTTTCAAAAACACTAAAAGTAGTCATTTCCAAACTTTTGACCAGTAATAAACTCATTATATATATATATATATATATATATATATAAAACACACACAGGGAGAGTTGGAGGGTTAGGCTACTTTAAAAATGTATTCCATTAGTTACAAATTGCTTAATTAAAAAGTATACAGTAACTTAACCCAAGCATAATGTAATCTGGTTACTGTTTTTTTTACGTAACTTAACTGTAACGAATTAGAGTTAACAGATTTTAGTATCCTGATTAAGTAACGCCGTTACATGTATTCCGTTACCTTACTTCCTCCCCAACCCTGTAAAAACTCACAGTCCTGTAGAACAATGGTCTGACAGCATACTTAACCCATGTACGTAAATTCTGTATTATAGTTTTTAGATCAGTGACCAGATTTGCACAGCATTTCTTTCCTAAACACCTGCAACGACCAGCATTTATGTTCCTATAGCAGACTGAAGCCATCTAGGCACACAGAACAAGACCCAACAATCCGATCAGTACAAATCAGATTTCGACAGTGTTTTAGGGACAGTGCGTTTAAGGTAAAGCAGATCACAACACAAGTGTACTGACTGAACTCACCTCTCACCAACCGGAGAATCCAGTTTCAAGCACTTGATGGCCACGGTGGTGCGCCAGTCGCTGTGCAGCGCCCTGAACACCGTCCCGAAGCCTCCTTTACTGATGAAGTGCAGGTCCGTTAGTTTCCGATACGGGATCACCGGTAAGGTGCTGGTGAGACTGCAGATGTTGACGCAGCCGGCGTGCTCCATGTTTCAGGTTATTGTGAGATGAAACGGGCCCGTTCAGCTTCAACAGAAAGGGGAACCGAGAACACGCTGCTACTGCTGAAACCCCTCACAGAGAAAGAAAAGAGCGCGCATGTTCTGACAGTCTGCGTACTAGACCACCGAGATCGGTGCATCTGCTTGACTAAATTATTATAGATCCTTGTTAAAAGTGTCACTGAGTAAGAATATAAGATGGGAAGAAATGAGTCCTACAGCTCACGCTTGGAGACACGCCCCCAGTCCGAACAACGCAATTCACAGCACGCCATAAAACAAACTGGAAATTAACCACAAAAATCACTTTAAATCAGTGGTGTTTGAGATTAAACGGTGACGAAACGAGGTTAGAGTGTGGGAATGCGCTCGTCAAATGTTTCGCAGGTGTGTGAATTATGAGTGGGTCGGACTAAACCGCGACGCATTGTTTTTTGTTTTTAACCACCCGTCTAGTCCCGCCCTTGACCTGAATGACAGATCAACTGTCCAATTGCAGATGTCGTATGAAACGCTTACAGCCAATCCTGTCGCCGAGGGCGGGGCTTCTCGAAATACAGGTGGGGAAAAAATCAACGCCGATCACACGACTGTGACTTCAGCTTCCGGGGGTCAGAGGGTTCGCATTTAATCGGATTTGATTATTATAAATTATTATTATTTTGCCACATTCATTAGACCTGAACAGTGTGTGCCGTGAAGCAATCAGTTTTTTTTGTCTATTTTAAGCGTAGGCTATATTAAAGGAATAGTTCATCCAAAAATAAAAATGTTGTCAATGTCAACTCAACCTCACCCTTGTTCCAAACCAATATGAGTTTCTTTCTTTTGCTGAACTTGAGGATTAGTAAATTCTGACAAAATGTCCATGTTTGGATGAACTATCCCTTTTTAAACATTTCTGACTCACAATTGTGATTGTGTTTTTATAATTCAGAAATCATGAAATATAATAATAAATAATGGTTTGGGCCTGGCGACCACGTTTTTAAAACGTAGGCTATTTGAACCTGACCCAACGACGTCATTTTGAAGTTTGTGTTCATGTTTTGACCCACGAACGTTTAATGGCTGATTCCATTATTATGTAAGTAGGGAATTCCCAAGAGTTTTCCTCATAAACAATACGTACGGCCTTGAATTCAGTCTATAAAAAGAGAGAGAGAGAGAGAGAGAGAGAGAGAGAGAGAGAGAGAGAGAGAGAGAGAGAGAGAGAGAGAGAGAGAGAGAGAGAGAGAGAGAGAGAGAGAGAGAGAGAGAGAGAGAGAGAGAGAGAGAGAGAGAGAGAGAGAGAGAGAGAGAGAGAGAGAGAGAGAGAGAGAGAGAGAGTGTGACTTTAAAGAAATGTATGCTGACATGCAACACAAATTCACTCCTGAGATACATCATTGCCTGGTTCTGGGTTTCAGTGATGATAACAACAAACCGTCATGCAGAGAATGGAGCTGATTGTCTTGGTAACTTAAAGCAAGCGTTTTGGTCTTGGCACTAGGGGATTATTCCTTATTCTGATAAAATCACCATGAAATCAAAATGTAAGAATTTTTTTAATGGAATTTTGCAGTATTTATTATAAAAATTTTATCCGTGCATCATCTTTCTTTTTTTTTAAAATCATGTTCCTCTGTAATCTTTAATCAAAAAAACTTCTCCCTCTTGCAGCTCATCTCTTCTCTTATCTGATGATGTGTTTACTGGCGCGAGGGCGGGACAACCTGTCAATCACATGACATGACATCACAGCAAAAGCAAACCACAACCATCCAATCAGCATGGACAAAATCAAGTCCCGCCCCATATTTGTTCTCTGGGAAGCCGTTTTACATCACAGCAGAAGAACACATCGCAATTTCTCTTTCATGCCCTTTCTGGATATCATTTAGCAATATCATTCATTATTGCCTAAATCATTATTTCCTTTTAAAAAAAACAGACTCACCAAGAGGCAAGCATATTCTATGATATTTAATGCAATGCATCACACATTATTTTGTTTTCTTTCATTAAAAAGTAACTGGAAAAACTGATTATGAAATCAGCAAAAGCTAATGTCATTTTCCTCAGTTCATATTTCAATATTTCAGGGTCAACTTCCTGTTTGATGCCTGCCCCGCCCACCTACAGGATGTCACACCAATAAGGACATCCAATTTTGATTATGCGGTCTCACAGCTAGGCTCAGCGAAAAAAGTTTTTATTTTCACTCATTAGGTGAGAAAATAAACTCTGTATAGTTATACTGTCCCATTCGACCTTATGACCCAATCACCCTTAATTCACCCTACATAATGCTAACTAATGTAATTATGTAAAGGATTATATATATTGTTATTACTACATCAGTTGTATACATATCACACATACACTGACTTTCAATGGTCAAAATATCATAGGATAAAAAAAAATCTAAATGAATTAACTTCATAACTTCTCTTTTTCTTCTCAAGCAAAAGGGCATGACCATTTAATTTCTCGTTTGTTTAGGCTACATTTTGACTTAATAGATAGAAATACATTTATATATAAAACACGAATAGGAAATATATATTTTTTAAAAACTCACTGCCATCTGCTGGTGAATTTAATTACCAGACTTGAATTTGAAGTCTTGATTGCGCCATCTAGTGCCGCAGTGGGATTACTCGTATGTCCTGATGGATTACAGCAGCCTTAGAGAATGCGTGTCTGTTTTTGTTTTTTTCCCACAACTAACGTTTCCACTTTCCATCAGCAAAACGCAAAACAAAGACACACAGCCATTTGTGAAAGTAGTAGTGTTGTGAAATTAGTGCTACAGGCATTACATTGCAAGGGAGGAAAAATATGGTTGACCTATTTATTTCCATATTAATAAAAGGCCTATGCCACTAAGTGTTCTTTTGATACTTTATTATTGTTTTTTAACATGTCATTAGCTGCACTGTGTAACTTTTGGCCCTCTAGCAGCTAAAAAACAAAACTGCATGCATTTTGTGGAAGAACATTGTTTTGGTTGCGCTTCGGCTCTCAGTGACTGCGGATTAATATGGCCCTTAGATAATGATTTACACACTAAAAAACAATGGCTTAAAAATAACTAAATAACTAAAATGATTAAATTTTAATCCAAGGGCTGGGTAAATAGGACAGAACACACGTTGGGTTAATTTTACCCAGTAAATTATTTAACCCATCATTATGGGTTTCATGATTCATTTTTACTATAATACTAGCTTATTTTTTTTACTTCACATGAATTAATGTTTTATATATATATATATATATATATATATATATACATATATATATATATAAAACATTAATTCATGTGTAATTCATATATATATATATATATATATATACTCTGCAACCACTGGTTTGCATGATAACATGATAATTCCTTTATTTATTTATTTGATCATATTTTACAGTGTAGCATATTTTATATCATGTTAATGTATATTGCCTCGATTTAAGCTTGTTTAACAAATATAAGAATTAAAAATGAAACATTTAGAAGTATAATTAAGAAAATAAATTTGTTGCAATACGACTTCTATTTTGACTTTATTCTTAAAATATTACGAATTTTATCTCGTATTGATACGACTTTATTCTCGTAATCTTAGTTTTTTTTTCTTCTGTAAAATATGGCAATTTATCTGTTCAATAAAATGCCTTACTCACCGGTTGAGTAACAAATGCCATCTCCATGTCGCTTAACATTTCCAATCCTTCAGTTCTCGATCTCCCTGAAAAGCCAAGCCAATGTTGATTCTTGTTTTATTACAAGCTCTGTCACGTTCTCCTTTTGCCAGCAGACTCTCCAGGCGAGGGACGCATGTACGCAATTTCCCACAAAAACTACTCCAACAGGTTATAATAGGCTTAACATAATGAATCAGGGTAAGTCAAAACACATTTTGGAAGAAGGATTGGTGATGTATTGACTCATTTAAATTTTGATAATTTTGAATAAAAAAGTGTATCTTTAAATAAATGCATGATTGGAAGTGAAAAGTAGCAAGTAGCAAACATTATTTTGATAAGTTCATAATAATGTTGATGCTTTATAATCATGCTTTGCATAGGACTGGATGAGGAGAATAAATGTTGAAATTAAGTGAATAAATTAAATTAATTACTTACATTTAATTGTATGTTTTAGTAAAGGGAAAAGCTTAGCGTTTAATGCTGTTTGACATTTAAAAAAGTTTCTGCCATGCATGTTGTGATGATAAGTTTTTGTGGTTACCACTTTGCTGAAGAGAAGTGCTCGTGGTTTGTGGATGGTTTGTGGGAACAACTTTTTGAGAAATCAATGTAAAAAAAAAAGGGAAAAAGAAAAGAAAGAAAAACCCATGTTACAGTGTTTATGCTTCAAATGATTAAGTTCCTGTAACTCAGTTAAATTGGTTGGTTTAACATATTCCATTACAAGTTGTCATTTTATGGGGTGTAAATGAAAGAGAACACATCTGTAAAATGGCAGTTCAATCAAACAAAAGTTCATGAAAAAAAGCATTTTTATAGGTTTATGTGTTCTGCATTCATACAAAGGTCATTTAATCAGATTTTTTTATGGTGTGTTTGGGTAGACCTGCCACACCATAAATAGGAATAACTTGAAATTTGATCAAAGAAGAAGAAGGTGTGGTTTGGTCGGTTGTGTCTCATTTGTGACTGGCATACTGATTCACTTCTCTTAATAGTGAGGAATGCAGAAGATGACAATCAGTCAACTTCTGCTAACATTAGATTTAGGATTCTTTCTTTTCACCAGCTCCCAAACCAGACAAAACACCCAAACAGATTATCAAGCTACTTTAGGTAAGAGAGAAAATAAATCGTATTTATCATACCATGATTAGATGCTTGTGAGCATACTTGAAATAACTCTAATGCTGTATGAATGAATCTTTTGAAGATTGGTAAAATTTAATCTGTGATGCTTCTTATAACCATTGATTTAAACAATCTCTTGAGAAATGAATGTGCTTTAAAAAAAAAAAAAAAAAAAAAATTTATTATCTGCATCCTTTATTTCAGCTCGTTCTTTTCTGAGAGCATTGGATTTAACATTGCAGAAGATCTAGCATGTTTTACCAAAACCACAGTCCAGAGGTTGTAAGAAGAGGGAATGGGATGGAGTATTACAGTGATGGATTTTGTAGAGGTAGCAATGAAGAGAAGACGCTCAAGGTCACCCTGCTTGGCTATAAGGTTATGGAGGAAAAGACAAAGTTCACAGTAAGGAGTTATGCATGCTCTTTTCACTCCTTAGTGATCAATGTACTGTATATTAGTCTGTTGTTGCTATTTTAATTGTTTAATTCTTACTTTTTAAGGGATATTCTTCACCCCAAAATGAACATTCTGTCATACTCACCACCATGTTGTTCCAAACGTTAATGACTTTGTTTCTTTCGTGGAACACAAAAGGAGAAATTCTCAATAATGTGCTATTTTTTTGGCACGCAATCATTTACTCACCCTCAAGACAAGTTGTTACAAACCCATAAGACTTTTGTTTATCTTTGAAACACGATTAAACATATTTCTTTTATGAAATAACTAGAGATTTCCATACCTCCATTGAAACCCCATTGAGTAACCAAAACCAGTCCAAAAAGTTCTTAAAAACATTGTAAACATAATCCATATGAATTGAGCCGTTGCTTGGCAAACATGAGTGTGAGTAAATGATGAGAGAATTTTCGGGTTTGGGTGAAATATCCCTTTGATTAGAGACACATAAGGATGAATAAGATACATTGAATCTTATAAACAGATGGAAAAGTACACTGTATCTGTTAAAGGCAAAGTTTTAAGTGATAAAGAGGACATGATGTTCTCTTTCTGCACATTTTAGGTCTACAAGATCTTAGTGAGGCGAGCGCCTGACGAGAGCTGGCACATTTTTAGACGATACACAGACTTCTCTCGACTACATGACAAGGTCAGGCACAGGTGACTCATGTCAGCTGACCAGGCAATGTTGGAGATTTGCTCATTTTTTCCTCAGTATTTCCTTCTTTTAGATATGAGTGACTTTATGTCTTTATGTGTATCTTCAGCTGAAGGAGATTTTTCCTGTGTTTGACTTTGTCCTACCACCCAAGCGTTGGTTCAATAACTTCAATGCTGAATTTCTAGAAGAGAGACAATTGGGCCTACAAGACTTTCTACAGCACCTGGTTGCTCAAAAAGACATGAGAAATAGGTACATTGTGCTTTGTTTAGAAACAGCATTCAAAACAATTGTCATCATTTACTCGCCCTCATGTCCTTCCAAACCTGTCTGCAGAACAGAATATATTTTGAAAAATGTGAACATGAAAGTCAGAGGGGTCCATTGTTGTTTTGGAGCCTATAGGCTTTCATTGTATGGACAAAAATATCTTATTTTCTGATCATACAGGTTTGGAATAAAGTTCCACAGTATATATATATATATATATATATCACTGAATTTTTTTCCCCTCCCATGTCATTTTTTTTTTTACATACACATGTTCGCCTATTGCTCCATAATCTGTATTTAGAAAAATGGCCCTGAATTTAAAATCTGCATATGGGTACAAAAGATAAATTAAATAAAACAAAAAATAAATACATAAAATAAAAATAAATAAATAAATAAGATGAAAATGCAAAAATCTTGATAAATACAGTCAACACTACAATAAAACTGTTATTGAGAATCACAACACTGAATCACACACAGAAAATCATGTGATAACAGAGTAACATTGCTTTCTCTCTACTGAAGTGAAGCGGTCAGACAATTCTTATGTCTGGATGACCCACCTACTGCTTTTGGCGATATTAGAGAGAGATGGGTAAGCTCACTCAGTTACTGTATACTGTAATACTTTTCCATTCAGCCAAGTGTGATGCATCCAGACACCAGTTATCTCGAACTTATCCATTTATCCCTCTGTTCCGACTAAAGGCCTTCTGTGAGACGCTGGAAGGGACCAACTGTTGCCTTCAGAGAGATTTAATGGACGACAGGAGAGAGACTGAGTCCCTGAGAAATGTTCTGCTGCACAAAGAGCTCCAAATTAGCCAGCCTGAAAGAACAAAAAAGTAATGTAGCAACATGATCTATTTGTGGGTTGCTTAGGAAACAGGGACAGAGAGGTGGGTTTCGTCTTCTGGCTGAAACGAATGGCTCCAAAATGATTATTCTGCTCAAGGAAATTAAATCTAATTGGATTAAGTGCCACACTAAATGCTCTCAGCCCACAGCCTGTCAGCAACGCTAATTGCTTTTAGCAGTACAGAAGTGTCATGCGCGTGATTTCACCAAGTACAACATGTTCTTGGATCAACATCTTTGTTGATCCTGGAACAACATTCCAGTCAACCAATCAGATTTCAGGGACTTCAGGGATTTCAGTTTACAGTTTATGTCAAGTTTAGGTTTACAACCAGGGTTAAGTGCTTCTATATCAGTGTAATTCACCATCATTTTCCTCTGTTTTAGGGATAACTTATGGTCGAGATATGGTTTAGAGGTAGGGATAGGGTTAGGACTACATTTTTTTAGACATAAATATTGTTTCAGGCTCAAAAAAAAAAAAAAATCTCGATCCAGGAACATATTTTACTTGGCAAAATCACGGTGACTAGAAGTGTCATGATTATTACATTTTTAAATGCATTTTTTATTTGCATTAGATTTTTAAAGCCTCATTCAGAATTGTAACTTTTTACCCTGTAAAGCCTGACATATGAAATAATAGTCAAATTAAGTTGAGTTAATAAGTTGCATGATTATTGTATGTTTTTTTATAGTGCTGGGAAACGATTAATCGCAATTAATCGCATCCAAAATAAAAGTTAGTGTTTACATAATATATGTGTGAGTACTGTGTATAATTATTTTGTATAAATACACACAAATGCATGTACATATTTAGGAATATTTGCATGTAATATACTGTATATTATACATAATTTATATTATATATAAATACAAATATTTCTTAAATATATACATGCATATATGTGTATTTATATACAAAATAATTATAGACAGTATACACACATATATTATGTAAACACTAACTTTATTTCAGATGCGATTAATCACGATTAATTGTTGCCGAACACTAGTTGTTGTTTTTTACTTTTCCTGTTTAACCCCATATAGTGGCATGTATAGAATCCAAGAGGAGTTGAACAAAGAGCCGGGAGACTCTTTAACAGAGCAGGAATATAAAGAAGTGGAGAGAGACAAACTCAGGAAACCAAGGTATATAATTGATGTATTTTCCATTTACTCCTTTTGGAATGAATCCTAGTTTAGCATTATTATTTATATAAACATTCCGTAATATTACAGAGGAAAAACACGTGTTTTGGGAGAATGGGGAGAACATTTTGTCTTATTAAACTGCTTGTATCTCGCTTCAGTTCTGAATTGCAGTTCATAAGGAGTCATGGAGCGTGTTGGTGTGGATCAGCAACTGACAGTCCCGAAAAGTACAGTTCTGGAGGACCATTCCAAGAACTCCATTAAATAAATTAAAATAAAGGAAAACAACATCACATACAAAGCACTTTCTTCAAAACGTCTGTTTGTTCTTAGTCCATAATACGAACCGAATACCTGGATTTTGAATGAATCAAAACCTCCTGGTTTTGAACACTTTTAATGTCTAAACTGAAAGATGTTGTTAAAAAAAGGTTTAATGATGCGTGAGAGTCCATGTGTGATTCTATCAGTTTGTTTAATGGAGATTTTATAGGACATCTGTGTCAAACTCACTCTAGACTAGCAGCCAATGACGCAACAACGTCACCATCTTGTGCACATTCTCTGTTCTAGAAACGTTACCCAGATTTTTTACTTCTGTTTTGGATTACTCTCATTATGATTTGGATACTGTCTTTGTGATTTGGATTGCGGAGTAAATTGATACACCCAGATCCTTCTGATTCATCCAAGAGACATGATCACAGATGGGTCATCAAGCCAGAAACTGAAAAACTTCTTAGAAAAAGAAAAGGGGGGAATACTTCCATGTAAGAATTATCTGGATGTTTTATTCATAATGTATCGTTTGTGGTAGAGATTTTTTTTCTTAAACACATATTTAATAATTGAATCAGATGTTCTAGTACAACTGGTTCCTCACAGCTCTTACCAGATGGCCTCTGTTACACACAACATGTATAGAAAAGATCTTTAGCTGGTTTAGTTATAGTTAAGAAACCTGTTTGGAACACCATGCAGCATCCAAAACTCAACATGAAATTACCAACAAAATATATTTGATTTACTGTGATTTACTGTTTTGTGCAAATTAGGTAGTGCCACTGTGAAAAATAAAATTAGCTGTAGTTGCCCACTTGGTGGAGTCGTAAACTTATTTTCTCAGCCTGATTTGTGTTTAAAAGGTCTAATGTGTTCACCACATCTACATGTTTTCTGTTTATAAGATGCATTCCCTGCATTATAATTATGTAATAAAGACAATAACTGCAATGTGCTTTCCCTTCAAAAAGTGTCTGCAGAGGAAATAGATACATGTGCTAAACCCACAGGGGTCAAGCACCGGGCATTTCAATTGGAGACAGATTTAGGGAGTTACACATTTGTGTTGCTTTGTTGTAGACACTTTAATCCTCTGTTCTCTTCTTTGCATTGTGTGCTTCACACAGTTGACAGCAGCTAGCATTCCATCTACTGTCTGGGTGTAACAGTTTTCCTGTTGCTGTCGTAGTAGCCTTCTCAGTGCACCACTGTCATTATTCACCTGGGCATTAGAGGGTGCTCTGTCTGAGAAATGCATGAATTCACCAATTTAAGGGAGTAGAGAAGGAGTAACAGTAGGAAGTTAATTCTTTACCCTCATGGAGAGGCTTTCCTCATTAGCTGCATCCTTCGAAGGCTGCATTTGAAGTCTGATTGCGTCAATGTGGTGCGACGAAGGCTGTCCCAATTCGAAGGATCCTTCAAATGCATCCTTCGTTTCCCGTGCAATGAAGGATACAACAGATGAATCGTTCACGGCCTTGCCTAGCCCAGAATTTATTGTGCGCCTGTTACGACAGGATTTTTTTAGATACATTGCCAAATTACACTTTTAAAATTAAGTATAGGGTTTCAACTTACTGAAATATCGAATGATTCAAATGTGAAAAACAAACTGTAAAGCAGTTAAAATGTTGACTTATATAGTTTATAGTTTGTGATTATATATAGTTTATACTTTTTAATATACAGAAATGGACTATGGTGATCATTTTTAGACAGTTTGTGAACCCTGTTTTTTATTTTATTTTATATGCCACATGCTGGTGACCCCTGCTGGTCAAAACAATGTACCGTATATACCCGAATATAAGACGATCCCCCACCCCCATTTTCCAGACTTATTTTTGTGGAAAAAAAATCTGGTTTTCAACAGAAAATAATTTTAAGAGCAAATTTCCGAGGCGTTGTTCCAAATGCCTCGCATCACCTGTGCCTCGTGTAGAGGCCCGCTCGTCGGCGGAGACCGGCATATCCTATGCGCTTCCTGCTTGGGCTGTGACCACGCGGAGGCCGCATTCACCAAGGGTGGCTGCCCTGAGTGCGACGGGATGGATTTAACCACCCTGTGGGATCGTCTGCTGGTTTTTGATGACGATCCGGCTCCCGCTCTCTCTCTCTCCCTCTGCTCGAGCCGCGCAAGAAAAAGCGCCTTTCACAGAGGATGCCAGAGCGGACGAGACAAGCGAGCAGAGACCCGCCCCCTTCTTCCCGGAGGTACATGACGAGCTGACCAAGTCATGGAAGGCGCCATATTCAGCGCGTCTGAAACCCCCTTTCTCCTCGACGCTCGACGGTGCGGGAGAAAAAGGCTATCGATCGGTTCCTCCACTCGAATATAAGACGAACATGAATATAAGACGACCCCCCATTATTCAGCCTATTTTTGCGACAAAAACCTCGTCTTATATTCGGGTATATACGGTAAATGCAACAAAAAACTCAGGCCAAACATGCATAAAAAAACCTTTTACAAACCCATAGCAAATGTTGTATTGAAAGTAAAATCTATCAAATGCAATTAGCAAACCATCTAATAAGATAAAATATCAAGTGTCTGTATAATATGTGTTCCCTTTTAAGGGAAATCGAGCTGCGTTGAGACGCTGTGGTTCGCCGCTTTAGGGCGCCGAGGTGCCTGCACATCTCAACGATCCTCCGAGGAGGGTAGTAGAACAGTCAGTTTGGTTGTTCCCTGCCGGTCCGCTGCTTCAGGGTACCGAAGTGACTGTTCGACCAAATCAAGAGGCCAGTCTCGAGAGACTGGTTCCCTTAGTAGATTTTCTGGCAGCGTGGAAGCTACTGCCAAATATATCTCATTGGGTCCTGCATACAATAGAAAAGGGTTACAGAATTCAGTTTGGTTATTGTCCGCCCAGATTTCTAGGGGTCCTCCCTACGGTGGTAGACCCCGAGCAGGCTCTGGTTATGGAGCAGGAAGTACAGACTCTTCTACGAAAGGGGGCTATAGAAAGGGTTCTTCCTCCCAGCAGGGAGTAAGGGTTTTACAACCGGTACTTCATTGTTCCAAAAAAGGATGGGGGGTTGTGTCCTATTCTAGATCTGCGCCAACTAAACCGCAGGGTTCAGAAACTCAAGTTCAAGATGCTTACACTCGAACAGATCGTGTCACAGATTCAGTCCGAGGACTGGTTTGTCACGATAGACTTGAAGGACGCTTACTTCCATGTATCCATCCATCCTCATCACAGGAAGTTCCTGAGGTTCGCTTTCGGGGGCAAGGCGTACCAATATCGGGTTCTTCCGTTCGGCCTGGGTTTATCACCCCGCACCTTCACAAAATGCTTGGATGCAGCTCTGGCTCCCCTGAGACTCCAGGGCATCCGCGTGTTGAATTACATCGACGATTGGTTGATTTTAGCTCAGTCCGAGCTGATGGCGGTTCGGCATCGAGATGTCGTTCTGTCCCACATAAAGATGCTGGGCTTGAGGCTCAATGCCAAGAAGAGTGTGCTCCTCCCATCCCAGAGGACCACTTTTCTAGGTGTGGTATGGGATTCGACAACGATACGGGCATAATTGTCACCTGCACGTATTACTTCGATTCTTTCAGCCGTAACTGGGGTAAAACTAGGCCAGTCACTCAATGTGAAACAGTTTCAGAGACTGTTGGGTCTCATGGCAGCTGTGTCCAACGTAATAACTTTTGGCCTCCTGTACATGAGACCCCTGCAGTGGTGGCTCAGGACCAAGGGGTTTTCTCATAGGGGAAATCTGTTTCGCATGTTCAAGGTCACGTGGCGATGCCTACATGCCTTAGTCATGTGGAACAAACCTTGGTTCCTCGCCCAAGGCCCAGTGCTGGGGGCTTCTTGTCGATGCGTAACGCTATCGATGGATGCTTCCCTCACAGGTTGGGGGGCGATCATTAGTGGTCGCTCGGCGAAAGGTCTATAGCAGGACCATCTACTTTCTTGGCACATAAATTGGCTAGAAAAGATGGTGGTGTTTCGAGCTCTCAAACACTTCCTGCCAGACCTGAGAGGTCACCATGTGCTTGTCCACACGGGCAACACATCAGTGGTCTCTTATATTAACCATCAGGGGGGTTTGAGGTCACATCACCTATGCAAACTGGCTCATCAGATCCTCCTATGGGCCCAAGGAAAATTACTGGCAGTATATATTCCGGGGCATCTAAATCAGGGAGCGGATATCCTGTCAAGGCAGGGGGTGAGGCCCGGGGAATGGAGACTTCACCCCAAGGTGGTGAAGCTCCTTTGGGAGAATTTCTGTCAAGCTCAAGTCGACCTTTTCACATCGTCAGATACAACGCATTGTCCCATGTAGTTCTCTCTCACGCACCCAGCTCCTCTCGGGCTGGATGCGATAGTTCAGGTGTGGCCGAGGCTACAACTGTACGCTTTTCCTCCGATATCCATGCTTCCGGGAGTTCGGGAGAGGGTTCGCCGGGAAGGGGCCCGTCTGTTATTAGTAGCCCCGTACTGGCCAGCCCGAGTTTGGTTCTCGGACCTGGTGTCCCTTCTAGATGGCTCTCCGATGGAGATTCCGATCAGGAGGGACCTACTGTCCCAAGCAGGGGGCAGGATTTATCACCCTCGCCTGGAGTGTGGAAACTGTGGGCTTGGCCCCTGAGGGGGCCCAGCTCATAGAATCAGGTCTCTCAAACGAGGTCGTGGAAACCATACTCCAATCTAGAGCTCCCTCCACGAGAAGACTGTATGCACTGATTGATGCGGAGAACGCCAACTGAATCCTGTTTACTGCCCTGTTGGTACAGTACTTGATTATCAGCAAAAACGTTTCTCTGCGGGGTTATCTCCTTCCACCTTGAAGGTGTATGTGGTGGCTATATCTGCTTACCATACTCCTCTGGGTGGTGCATCATTGGGGAGAGATCCTCTCATTACTCGTTTTCTTCGTGGCACCCTGGGGCTGAAGTCTGCACTGCGCACTAGAGCACCGGCTTGGGATTTGGCCGTTGTACTGGAAGGCCTGGCTTTGGCTCCCTTTGAGCCCACTGAAGAGGTTTCAGAAAAGTTTCTTACACTAAAAACTTGATTTCTCATTGCTATTTCTATCAAGAGAATTGGAGATTTGCAAGCCT